GTGGTCTACTTTAAAAGAAATGTAAATTAAAACTTCAATAAGACAGAATTTTTAACGTATAAAACTGAAAAGATTTACAGAAATTACGAACACTGCATTAGTGAGTGTAGGTGAGGTAGCAGTCTCATAAATAAGTGGAGCGTAAATTGGGACAAGCTTCTGGAGGGCAATTTGATAGTTCTTATCAAGATAAAAATTACACATCTTTTGACCAAGGAATGCTACCTCTATTCATTTAGTCTACAGACATATTTATACATGTACAAAAACTGTAAGAATGATCAATGCAGCAGTGCTTGTGGTAGTAAAAGAATGGACACAGCTTATGTGTCCATCAGACGCCTGGTTAAACAAATTACAGTAAAAGCAAACAATGGGATATCAGCTGTAAAAAGCAAGAGGCAGCTCTGTATCTACTTACACAGATTGATCTCTAAGATCCGGTATGACAAAGAAAGCAAGGGGCAGGAGTGTGTTTATTACGCTATTTACATAAAAACGGAGGTTAGAAGACATATACACATGCTGGTACACACATATAAAATATCTGAACAGGTATCTAAGAAACTGACAACAGTGCTTGTTTCTGAGGTAAAGTGGGGCATTAGGTAACAGAATTGGAGGAACATTTACTTTTTGTGATAGGCAGAATAACGCCCTCCCTCCCAAAAGATGTCCATGCCCTAATTCCCTCAACCTGTGAATATATCACTAAACACGGCAAAAGGGACTTTGCAGATGGGATCAAAGATCTTGAGATGGGGAGATTATCGTGGATTATCCACCTGGGCCTAATATAATCAAAAGGGTCCTTATAAGAGGGAGGCAGGAGGATCACTGTCAAGAGAAGTAGATGTGGCCTTCTCTAGAAGATTTGAGGATGCTACACTGCCAGCTTTGGACATGGAGGAAGGGGCCAAGACCCCAGGAACATAGGCAACCTCTAGATACTGGAAAAAGCAAGGAAAGAGATTTTTCACTAGAACCTCTCGAAGGAAGTCAGCCCTGCCTACACCTTGATTTAAGCTCAGTAAGACTCATTTTTGGAATTCCGATCTCCAGAAATGTAAGAGATTAAATCTGTATTGTTTTAAGCCATCAAATTTGTATTAATTTTTCACAGCAGTAATAGGAAATTAATACACCTTTCATAGACAACTATTTTTTACTATTTGATTTTTTTAAAACCATATACATGTAATATTATTCCAAAAAAGGTTGGTACACTAGGTACATTTTCATTAATGTCTTGTGCAGTTTTACTAACTTTCAGGAGCAAGTTTTTACTAGCAAGTAATCATCTTAATATTTATTAAGCTTACGGACATAAAAACAAGACACATAGACCAATGGAACAGAACTGTGAGTCCAGAAATAAACCCATGCATATATGGCCAAACAATTCATAAGAATCAAACTGGACCCCTATCTTATATCACTTGCAAAAATCAACTCAAAATGGATTAAGATTTAAATATAAGGCCAAAATCATAAAACTCTTGGAAAAAACCATGGGAAAAAGCTCCTTGACATTGACCTTGGCAATGATTTTTTTGAATCTAAAACCAAAAGCGAAAACAAATAAGTGAGACTACATCAAACTAAAAAGCTCTGCACAGCAAAGGAAACAACAAAATGAAAAGGCAACCTAAAGAATGAGAAAAAATATCTGCAAACCATATATCTCATAAGGAGTTAATACCCAAAATATATAAGGAATTCATACAACAGCAATAATAATAATCATCCAATTAAAAAATAGGCAGAAGACCTGAATAGACATTTTTCCAAAGAATAGACATTTTTCCAAAGAAGATATACAAATGGCCCACAGGTACATGCAAAAGCGTTCAACATCACTAATCAGGGAAATGCTAATCAAAACCACAATGAAATATCACCTCACGTCTGTTAGAATGGCTATTATCAAAAAGACAAGAGGTAACAAATGCTGGAGAGGATGTAGAGAAAAGAGAACCCTTGTGCACTGTTGGTGGGGATGTGAAATGGTGCAGCCACTAGGGAAAACAATATGGAAGTTCCTCAAAAAATTAAAAACAGAATTACCATATAAGCCATATTACCAACAATTCCACTTTAGATAGATCTGAAAGAAATGAAATCACTATTTTGAAGAGCTATCCACACCTCCATGTTTACTGCAGCATTATCTACAATAGAGAAGACATGGAAACAATCTAAGTGTTCACTGATGGATGAACAGATAAACAAAATGTGGTATATGCATACATATGTGTACACATATATATCTGTGTGTGTATATATATATACACACACACATACATAATAGAATATTATTCAGCCGTAAGAAAAAAGGAAATCCTGCCATTTGCAACAATATGGATGAACCCTGAAAGTATTATACTAAGTGAAGTAAGTCAGACAGAAAAAGACAAATACTGTATGTTCTCATTTACATGTGGAATGTAAAAACACCATACTCATAGAAATAGAGAGTAGACTGGCGGTTGCGGGGGGCGGGGGGGGGGGGGGGGGGAGGCAGGGATATGAGTGAAATGAGTGAAGGTGGGTCAATGGGTGCAAACTTCCGGTTATGAGATGAGTAAGTTCTGGGGATCTAATGTACAGCACGATGACTATAGACAACAATATCGTATACCTGAAGGTTGCTAAAAGAGTAAATCTTAAAAGCTCTGACGACAGGAAAAAAAATGGTAACTATGAGAGGTGAGGGATTGTTAATTAAGCTTACTGTAGTGATAATTTCAGAATGTGTTATGTATATCAAATCATCACATTATACACAAAGTTCTAAGTCAATTATATCTCAGTACAGCTGGAAAAAAACACTATTTGTTGTTAAAAACAAGATTCGCTAAAAAAAAAACAAGCTGATTTGTTGTTATTGCTCACATTTATGGGTGTGAAGCCAACAGCACATAATTCTTGTCATTAAGGAATATGCAGTTGTCAGTAACAGTTAATGTCTACAGTAATACGTAAGGATAAGACAAGGGAGGGATGATGGCACACTTTTTAATGGTTTATAATATAGCTAGTGGGAAAAACAAGCAAACAAATGCTGTAATAACAGGCTTATACAAAACAGGTGCATACCCATGAGTGCCTCATAGTACAGTACACACCAAACTTAAAAGCACTAAAAACTTTTTAAAATAGAGAATAAAGAAGTGTTGAGTGGGATGGATTAGTGTGAAAACATTCTTCGCGTTAGTTGAATTAAGTTTTGCTGTAAGAAAAACATATGAAGGTGGGACACTCCAAGAAAGATCCACATTAAGAGAAAATAGATGAACAAAGTAACAAAAGTGGACAACTTAAGCTGTGCTGTTACTATTTACTACTATTACTAAAGCCGATTACAACAACTAACATTTACTAAGTACCAGAAATTGGGCTAAGTGGTTTACATTTAATTTTCACAACAATTCTATAAGGTAGGCACTATGGTTATTACAATCTGATTGGGCAACTAAGACTGAAAGGAGTTAAGTAATTTCATCAAGATCATAATTTAGCAAAGACAAGTGCCAAACTCAGTCCTCTGGGACTCCATAGCCCACTGTGTGAGCTTACTGAAAGAAGTTTAGAGTAACTGATGTCAAAGTCTATACGGAAAACCTCCAGTGCCAAGCTGAGTTTAAATTTAAGAGAGGATGCAACAGAGCCTCTGTTCATGTGCCAGAAAAACAACAGGACAAGAAATGTGCCAATGAGAACAGATCTATATGACACTTTTTGGACTCTTACGACAGGGCAATATACTCCTACTACACAGCCTGACAAAAGTGAAGTGTTAATAGTCAAGGACAACTACAGTCAAATGTCAATCAATCCCCCAATCACTCAGGCACAATCACATTAATGTCTGAACATTCCACTCTGAAAAGTTATGAAAGAAAATTATATTATAAAGGGTTAGAAATAGCACAAAATAAGCAAAAAGACCGAATTTACAAACATATATAATCTACAGCAAAAAGACTGTAGAGAGACACGAAAGACAAAAATGACAGCCATATAACGAATAGGAGAAAAAAGAAAAAGCAACAAAGAGGAGAACAGACATTGTGACCAGAGTACATAACTTTTTATCACCTTACAAACTTTACGTTGTTTTTATTAAAAACTAGTTCAAAAATGAATATTTATAAAACATGTTCCTATTCAAGGATTATTCTCAAGAACATAAAGGTAAGTGAAAAAGCAAAAAGAAACAACACAGTTTTGGAACACAAACATAAGCGGTAATATATACAAATGCAAGACAATTATAAATACAAAATTTAGATACCGTCTACCTCTGAGATCCTCCTGAAGGGTCTAAGTTCAAGGAGGGGAACATAGACGCTTTCAAGAGCTATGTTATGTTTTATTCCTTAAACTGGATAATGGATAAACGAGAGTTCCTTATACTGCTAACCTTTATACTTGCGTGTTATACAAACACTCTTTCGCATCCACTAAAAAAAACAACAAAACTGTTTCAGTGCCGTGGCGGGAATAGGGGCGTAAAGGTAGGATGTGGGGCCTGAGTGGGTCACTGGAGGCGGTGAACAGACATCGAGACAAAGGCGACTGAGTCTACACCGGCGGCAGGAGGGGGCACCGGTGTGTGCAAGGAGAGCTCTTCCGAGTTTTGCCGCTCACCGCCCCACCCCCATGCACTGGTGAGTAGCAAGAACATAAAGGGGTGCATTCCCCCCGCCGCCCGCCGAGGCGCAGTGGCCGGGAAGAAATGAGGCTCAAGGCGAGAAGCGGCAGGGTGCCCCGTGCGCACTTCAGAACTCAGAAGCAGAACTTCACCGTCCGGATGCTGGCCCGGGGCCCACCTCCAGGCTGCCTCGCCCTGCCCCCCAACACCCCGTGGACCGCCGAGCATCACCACTTCGCAGCCTCCCTTCTCCCAGCTTTCCAAAGCCGCCCCCTCCCTCCCTCTCTGCTCGACAGGAGCTTCCAGGGAACCGAACTGTTCAAGGGAGCGGGAGGGGGCCCACCATGGTGACGTCCTCGTGGCTCCTGGGGACCGCCGCACTCCAGACCCCGGCAACCTCACCAAAAGCAGCCACAGCAGCTCACCACACCACTCCAGCCCGAACACACGTGGGGCCGGGAAAGCTGGGGCGGATCGACCGGAAAGGGCGGGGCGAGTCCAGTTCTCTAAAACGTCCTCGGGAAGCGAGACCGGGTCTTTTTCGCCCGCCTTGGATTTTAAGCCCTATCCCAGCGGGCAGCCTCCCTGCGTGCTGCCGAGGCATGGCGGGAGGGAGCTTGGGGCAGGAGGGTGAGCTTGGCCCCGCGCCAGTGCTCGGCGAGGGGTTGGAGACGGGCTTGCCGACGCCCGGGGCTCCAGGCCAGTGGCGTCCCAGGCCTGGACTCGGATGTAGGGCATCTGCTCCAGAGCTGAACAAAGCTCCCGTTTTGGGGGATCGTGCCTCGCAGAGGCTGGCTACCTCCGGGGAGGGCTGCTCGGAGGAGGCTCGCGTCCTAATGAGGCAAATGGCCCTACCCTCTGCTCTTCCCTCCACCAGGTTACCTTGAGCGAGGCTTTCCCCCTAGCGTCTTAGGTTCTTCATCCTTAAAGGCCGCTTCCACATATTAAAGCCCCTCTTACAACTCGGTTTTTGTTTTCTTCTCACAATGTGTAAGAGCGTCTGTCTCACCTTTGCTTGTTAGAATTCCATAGACAATATATTCATTCAACAAATATTTATTGATTACCTACTGTGTGCCCTGCTTTGGGGGTATTCTGACACTATCCGGGCCCTCGCCCAGCTCATAATCCTGTTCACCAAGAAAAAAGTCACTACAATGTATACAGTAGGCATATATTTGGGCAATTAGAATTGCAATTCCAGAAACACAGATCTAGGCAGAAACTCAAAATGTGCTCCGAGGAAGAAAAGGAGACAAGGGTTTATAAAGAAAAAAAGAGACAACTAAACAGGTTGTTTTGCAAAAATTGTGACTGGTGCTGGCAACAACTGTGAGTTCTTGCCTCTGCGTGATTGGTTGCTAAGGCCATCTCTAAGGCAGAAAGTTCTTATCTATGAGAAATAAGAAATCTCAAGCATATTTCTTGAAAGAAGGTCAAGATGACAGCAGTGAAGCATAGTTCAAAAGTTACATTCCATCAGGGTAGAGAATGGTGTCCTTGCACAAGCCTCATTTCCTTAATTGCCTCCTGACTGCATTTTAGAAGCCTTGACATGTTACTCCATTTTGTTATGCTGTCCAAAATCCAGTAGGATATGTCAAAAAAATAAATAAATAAAAATAAATATTATTTCAAATAGTATAAGTACTCTGAATAAAATCAAACTGGTGGGTTGGCAGGAAAGCTTTTACACTTGGTAGTTTCTGAAACCCTCTTATGGAAATGATAGTTAACCGGAGACCTATATTAAAGAAAAAAATTATCTAGACACTTGTTAAAGAATGGTAAGACAGACTTTATTCACAGGGCGGGGGGCCGTCACCATAGGTATAGGGATCACTGCAATGGGGTCTTGCAGAGGGGAGAGAAATAGGGCTCAACTCTAAATGCAGCACGGGCAAGTGGGCATTTATAGCCAAGGACCAGGGTGGGGGTTAGTGGATGGAAAATTACTGAGAGGAATCATCAGGGGTAAGAGGACATTCTGACTAAATCAAGCAATCAAAATTTTTGCTGAAGACAGGCCAGAGTGATCAGATATCACTTGGGAGATGGTGGAGGACCAGGAGCTTGATTGGCTATAGATATGGAGGTTGAAGAGCTATGGAGAACTGGGGATTCTGGCTAAATTGACTTCTTGTTAAAATTGGACAATGCAGAAAAGAACACGAAATCCAAAAGTACAGGCCTACTTGAAAAAGAGTTCAGGGAAACCTGAGTAGAGTTTGGTCAAGGAGAGAATCTTGTCACCTAAGTGATAAGAGAAAACTAGGGAGGGGCTGGCCAGTGGCGCATCGGTTAAGTTCACACGTTCTGCCTCTGGGCGGCCCGGGGTTCGCCAGCCCAGATCCCGGGTGCGGACATGGCATGGCTTGGCACACCACGCTGTGGTAGGAGTCCCACATATAAAGTGGAGGAAGATGGGCACGGATGTTAGCTCAGGGCCAGGATTCCTGAGCAAAAAAAGAGGAGGATTGGCAGTAGTTAGCTCAGGACTAATCTTCCTCAAAAAAAAAAAAAAAGAGAGAAAACTAGGCATGGGAAGAAGCTACAGGCAGGGTGAGGTTAGGTGTGCCTAGATATGTGTGTGCAGGTACATGTATTTAATCAACAAATATATCCATTTTTAAAAATAGATTAAATTGTAAACAGGAACATGTGACCAGAAGATCCATGAATCTAGGGGCAAGGCATTTTCACATGGCTTTTAAGTGTGTGAAAGTGCTTTCTGTGTGAATCTACACAGTGAAGGTCACATTTGCAATCTATGCTGTGGAGACGTTATTCTATTGATGACTCCAATTAATCAGAATCTTTACATCATACTTCTCTACTCTAACCATTTCCTGGGAAGCCAACTTAAATCCACCCTAATCCATTCTCTGAGTCTGGCCCAGTGCAAGTCAGCTTCCTGTGTTCTATGTTACTGCAAATCCAGTAAATATTAAATCCTCATTCTGGCTGTTTGAGCTGTTACTAATGGCTCTGCTGATCACAGAATCTCTACCTGTTCCTACCCTATTTCTAAATTTCGAATTGCCAATAACTTAACAAGACTGATATCCTGAATTTTTTTTTTTTTTTAGTTTGGGTTTTGAAAATAAAAGACTTTATATTTTCCCCATTCATATTTAACCCCTAAATAATATTGATTATGGGCAAGGTGCCATAATCAAAATACACTGTAGCAAATGCACAAATGAGTTATGCAAAGTAAAAGTAAAAATAACAATAATGGTTACTAATATTTGGTTGTAATTTAATGTGTACATGCACCACTTTGATAAGCAAAATGAATTGCCCCACTCCACCTCTCCAGTCCAACACCCCCACCACCCAATAACCACAGTAGATAGTTTGGAGACATCTTTAGAGAGATTAAGAAATATACAGAGATGTGTGTTTACATGTATAATGGTTAAGTAGTTATTAACGTTATATAAAATAGGCTATAAGTCAAGAAGTATTATGGTATATACAAAAGATCACTTGAAACTAATAAAAGGTTTCCACTTTAAATATATGTTCACTTAGTAATATGGCTCCAAATATAGATTAGAAAACTGGTAAAATTTCAAGAAGTAGGAAAACCAACTGCCTTGGTGGTTTTTTAGTGATTAATAGAAACTTTTTTAGTAATTAATAGAACAAGCTGATAAAATATTAAAAATGATTTGGAAGACTTGACTACAACACAACTTGACCTAACATATCTATTTAGAATACGGCTTTCAAGAATACATGTGCTTTCAAATATATATGGAATAGTTAACAAAAATGATCATATATTGGACCAGAAAGCAAGTCTAAACAAATTTGAAAGGATTGAAATTCTACAGAATATGCTGTCTAACCACCATGAAATTAAACTAGAAATCAACAACAAAAAGATAGCTAGACAATTCCCAAGTATTTAGAAATTAAGGATTATCTTTCCAGATAAGTCATGGTTAAAAAGGAAATCATAATAGAAATTAGAAAATATTTTGGGCTGAACTATAAGAACAAATTGTAGAAATATATAACCTATCAAAACTGACACAGAAGACTAGAAAAGTTGAATAATCCCATAATCATTTTAATAAACGGTCACTCAAATATCTTCTAACGATAAAATTACATGTCCAGATTTTTTTAGATTTTATAAATACATAGAAATAGAACAGCACTTCCTTCATATGATAAAAATGTGGATTGGCAATAGTGATAGGGGGTATCATTGTCTTCTTCCTGACCTCAAAGAGCAAGCTTTTGTTCAACCACTTTGGAAAACCACTTTGACATTATCTAGAAAGTCGAAATGTGTACATCTTCCAAACCCAGGCATATACCTTAGGAACTACAGCACATGTCTCTCGGGAGCCATATACAAAAATATTCATAGCACTGTTGTTCATAATAGCCCAAACGAGAAAAAAAACCTAATTGTTAGTTAACAAGAGAATAGAAAACTAAATTGTGGCAAATTCTATATAGCAATGAAATGAACAAACTCCAGCTATGCTAAGGATAAATTTTTAATCATAATGTAAAAGAAGTAATAGATGAAAGGCTGCATACAGTATAATTTCATTTATATAAAGTTCAAAAACAGGCAAAGTGAGCTATACTACATTTTTTACAATACTTTCATAAGTGGCCAGCAATATTTGTTAACTCGAGTGGTGGTTATCTTGGTGTTTGCTTATAATTTTTCCTTATGTGTCACATTTATGTCTTATGTACCTGTATGTTTATAGGCTGTACTTCATAATAAGAAGTGCTAAAAAAAATTTAAGCACAAATATATTACTCCATCATCTTTCGAATCCAGTATTATTGTTGAGAAGTCTCATGTTGCACTAATTTTTGTTCCTTTGTCGGTAGTTTACTTTTCTGTATAGAATCTTTTAATAATTTCTATTGCCTTGTTCTTCAATTTCACTATAGTGTGTCTAAGTATTGATATTTCCTTGTATGTCTTGGTACTCTATGGCCCTTTCGATTTCTTTTTGGGATTTGAATTATCTGGATATTGATAATTCTGTTTTTCTATCTTTTAGTCCTTCTTTTATATTTTCTATCGCTTCCTAATTTGATCTTCCAGTTTACTATTTTATTCTTTGACATAATCATCCCACTGTATATTCCATCTATTGTCATCTTCATTTCAACTCTCTTATTTTTAATATATAATATTTACATTTGTTTTTTAAAGTAATTTCTCATCCCTTTGCTTTATTACTATATTCTTCCTTAACTCTTTTGAATATATATAGTGCTTATTTTAAACTGTTGGCTCATCTGTTCCAATAAATCTGCATCATATGTTTTTCAATTTTATTATTATTTTTTAAACTTTCTTTTAGAGTAGCTGTACTCCTCATGTATGTATTTTCCTTGTAGCATTGCATTTCACTGATGGAGTCAGCTGTTTTGTCCTGTAATGTGTATTGGGGAAGTGCTCAATACCTCACACCCTCAACTGTGTTCTTGGAAGATTTGAGAA